CCGGTTCTGGTAGAGTATTTTCCGGCAAGCCAGGCGTTCAGTTCTTCTACTTTTTAAGTGAATCTTCTTTTTTAAGATCTTTGGTGTATTGAACTTAAAAATGCTTTAAACAAATACTCAATATACGTGAAATTAAACATTCTTTAAATTTATAGTTGATAATACTTTTAGTTGTAAGTGTGTACGCTTGCTCCATAATTTTTAGTGAATGTTCATTTAATTTTGTATTTTAGAACATTTTTAATTTCAATATTTCAAAGTTACTGATGAGGAGGATTTTCAACATCTTCGAAATGTGTAAAAAAGAAATATTTGTTTTTGAGAAAAAAGGCTTGATTTCAGAAAAATTAACTGAGACCTCATATACTATTTTATGAAAATATTTTTAAAATTATTACCGGAAAATCGTAGATATTCCTGAGGACGTACTCCGCTTCGACCAGTCCTCGGAAAAGGATAGAGTCCTCTTGTGCCGCCCCGAGGGCTCTTGTATCCTATAGGGCCGCTAGATTCATCTGAATTACAAATAAATTCATTATAAGCATCATTATACTAAAATGTTATTAAAAAATATTCGTAATGCAAATTTGAATCTAATAGTGAAAATAGAAAATTCATTCCAAATTCATTTCACTCAATTTTAAGTGCTAGGCATTAGGAGAAACTATTTATTTTATTAATAATTGGTTGTTCTTCAAAATTAGTGATTTGTCTAAAATAACTGAATAATTATTTTTTGCAAGAAAATAAATAATAAATAAGTATTTGGCTTTCTACTTCTACTCGATATAAATTTAATATATTTCCAAATATGATAATTTATAATTAAGAAGTATATTGTTAAAAATCTAAAAAATATTAAACCATTGAATTTCTGCATAAATAAAATCTTAATTATGAAAAGTTAAAAAAATATTATAATTAAACTTAATCAGTTTTAATTAATTTTTAGTTTTGGTTATTATTTTATTTAGCTCAAAAATATCACACATTAAAAAGCTTTTAAGTTAAAAATATTCGAAAATTATATTTAGTAAGAGTGAAAGTTGTGTCAAATGATTTATTTTCATCTTACAAACGGTTTGGTTAAAGTAAAATATGTGGTTTAGGAGTGACTATTCATGTTTCTGCATTTGAAATATTATTCTTCAGGATAATAGTACACAGTATATATTATAAATATATTCAAATCGATATCACTTATATAAATATATTCAAATCGGTATCGTTTTGTTTTTGTAAGATTTTTGTTATCTTAACCCCCACACATGAATACTTACGCTTTTAACTTATCTGAAAGATTTTTTTATTTCAAGGTGTTTGTAAAAAAAAAATCTATTGTTGTGAACATATAAAATGCTTTTTATATTTTATATCTAAAATGATAATAAATATGCAGAAATAAATAATTCATTTTATCTTAATGTATGAACAATTATTAAAATTAATTAACACCAGTAAAATTAAAATAATGTTAGTATTTTGCAATATCACAACAAAAGTATTTATATTTGATAAACAACAAATAACTTCAAGAAATCTAGAATTTTTGCGTTTTCTGAGGTGTCAGCCTTGATAATTTAAATAATAATAAATTATTGATTGTATATTCCAAATACAAAAAGTATTTATTTTTGATAAATAACAAATAATTTCAAGAAATCTAGAATTTTTGCCTTTTCTGAGGTGTTAGCCCTAATAATTTAAATAATAATAAATTATTACTTCCATATTCCACCCTGGCGAATAAAATTATTCTGATGTTTATAAAATAATAATTTAATGAAATATAATTATATAATAATGTTCATCATCAACAATCAATCATTAATCAACAATAATATTATTAATTTATCAATAATTTATTATTTGATTATTAATCTATATAATAATTTATATAGATTTTTAGACCCTAGGTAAAATTTGTCTCACCTGCCATAATTTGACTTGTAATCGACATCAGCAGAATGAATACAGCAGATATGCTTAGAACAGTCATCTTTTCTAGCATAATCGATCCCTTCACACTTTTTCCTCAAAAGTTTCACTTATCAATTAAAGATCAAACTCAAATTACAAACTATGGTAGATACTGTTCTCTTAAAATCTGATGCTGGTCCTTTTATATGATGTCCAACAGGTGTGCGGGTGTCATCCACCGATTCTGCGCAATTTAATTCGGGGATGATTTTTGATCTGAATACAGGATGATATCACGTACCACATTTCTCTAGTTTGCGAAAGTTTTTCTTTAAGATAATCCAGAAACAAAATTGGGATACGAGAATGATAATTTTGTTTGGGTAAGATTATGCCATCATTGTTGTTGAAGTGAGTTTTTCATCTTTATAAAAGTATCGTTATAATATATTTAAGAGCTTTATTGGCACCAAAAAAATTTAAAACACTTTTTTATTTTGTAAAGATATAAAAACATGAACGTTTTTTTGTTGTTTTTGATTATTATCAACACTATTCTTATTTTATATAAAATATATTTTGAAATTATGATCAATTTTTTTGCGAAATTTTGATTTTTATTTTATAGTTTTTTAATAGTGCTTTGCAAAATAACAAGTGATGATGAAAGATCTTTGATTGAAGAGAAAGAGTTTTCTAACAGGTATTCATCCAGATCAAACTAATATAACTAAATCACGTTTCTAAAATAATTTCATTATGCTTCTATACGTTTCAAGTCTCACTTAGAATCTTTGAATTGAG